GTTTTTCCTGGGACCTGCCCACATCAGCATTGTCACCTACTCTGCCTGGGTATGAGAGGGTGTCGAGGCCGGGCGGAGGTTTGAGAGCCTGTTCCAAGGAAGCATCAGAAGCTCCGGAGACCCTGGCTCTGCCTTCTCCATTTGAGGAGGGAGTGGCATTTACCATGACGTTAAAGTTCAGAGGTGGCAGTGGGGAGCCAGTGTCAGAGATCAGAAGGTGTGAATATGCTCACAGTTTGTAAGCTGGAGTTTGGACCTGAGTTGTTTTTTGGTTTTTGTTTTCTGTTTTTTGTTTTTTGGGGTTTTTTTGAGAGATTTTCACTATAGGGCGCGTGCGATCGCCAGACAGAGAGAGACATAGAGACAGAAAGCGAGAAATCACCCCCCAGGGGGGATGGTCGCGCCGCAATCCCTTCTCCTCCATTCTCCTCCCGGGATCTTGGGCACGCACGCACACGCGCCCGGCGTGAGTTTTAAGCCACCGGGTCCAGGACGCGAACCGCGGTCGACTACGTGGGAGTCCAGCGACATAGCCATTATGCTAACTGCTGGTTCCCCAGTGACTGGATTTGACTGTTGAAAGACTAGTGCAGGTTGGAAATGAGGTTACATTCCTCAGTGAGGAACAGAAACGTTGCTTGGTGGCCATGTTTTTGTAACTGGAAGTCCCTCTATGTTTGAGTTTTATATTTAAGATGGTCAATATCTTTGCACTGCCCAAGTGACACAGAATTAATGATAGGGTTGATATCATTAGATTCTAACTCTTTATTGAATGATTTTTGCAGTGTCAGCACTCACTTGGTATTGCAACGATGTGTGTGATTTTAGAGGTTCTTAGTCATCGTGGAAACCTCTTTCAAGGGAGGAATATTTTCTCTATGCATCCTAATTTCTATTTCATACATTTTCACACCTCTTTAAAGTATAGTAAGAATTGTAAAATGCCATCGTTAGTCATTTAGTAGTTCTCAATCAATATGCATTAAGATGCTATCATATGGCGAATAACAAGATGTGGAAGAACTAATCCTTTTTTCTAAAGAAGGCAGGGAGCTCATATTTGATGACTCCCAATATGAACTAAGAATACTGCCTATTTTTAGTTCACCCCTAACAACCACCTTGCAAGTTAGATATTGCTCTCTCTAATTCCTAGAGGCAATTACAGAGGCTTAAAATGATAGGTAGACCAAGATCACACAAGTAGAAAGTGGTAGGCTGTGGGTTGGACTTCAAAGTCCATGTTCATTCCATTACTCTCACCTTGTTCTAGTAAATCTGTTAGAACCTCAAAGTATTGGCCAGCGATTAATATTCCACTCTGTGTCAGGCAGTCCATGGCATTTTTCAAGTTAGGAAAGCCTAGAGAAGGTAAGTTTTCTAAGTGCCTTGGAAGTGGCCCCTGTGGGCCCGAAACACATCCTTCTTCATCCGACATCTTTCTCACCAACCTGGCCTGAGTGTCAGTGTCATTTTTATGCGAGGTGGGGAGCCGGGGTCAACTGCCCACGTGCCACTGCTTTCCAGAAGAAAAATGATCCTCAAGGCTACCTGATTCCTTTCCCTCACGAGCTGCCATCCCATAGGCGGCCGCCAGGGGTCCTCTCTTGGCGCCTCCGCGTGATTGGCGAGACCCGGCTGCGCAGCGCGCCGGGTGCATGTGGGGGCTGCTTCGGAGCGGCGGCTGCAGGGGGAGCCCAGCGTTTGTCGGCGCGCGGGCTGGCTCCCTGGGATCGCGCGCAGGCTGGAGCGCCCCTCGTGTGGTTCAGCAAGCGTCGCCGCTGCTGCCCGGAATTCAGCCTTTTCTCTTGCGCGGGCTGCAGCTGACTAGACCGAGGGAGCCGACAGGGCCCTGGGCTGAAGGTACGACCCCTCGGTGAGTGAGAACCGCTCCAAGTGAGGGGAGCCAGCTCCTCGCTCCGGACCGCGCCGAGGCCGGCAGAGGTGCGGGACGCACCTGGGAGCGGGTGCTGCAGGGGCGGGAGGCAGTGGCCCGGCGTCCCCGCCCGCCGCGCGCAGGCTTCCGGGACTGGAGTAGGTTTTAGACCCATGCCCACGCCTTGGCTTCTGGCCGGCTCCTCGTGCGTAGTTCCCGGGCGGGAATGAGGATCCAGCTCGCCAGTCGGGATCCGTGGCCTTGATTTTAAGAGACAGAACATTAATAAAATCTTCCTTTTGAATGCAAATCTGTCCTCGAACCCGTCCCACATCGCGGAAGCCTGCGGGGTGCGTGTCGAGCTGTGGGTGGCGGGAAGACAAACTTTTACGAAAGTGCGCCCGGGCAAGGGGACCACGTTTGGGCGTCCTGATCTTGAGGGAGGAGACTCGGCTTGGGGCTGCGTGGAGGAACTCGGTCCCGTCAGTCGGGTCGCCCGGGGGCAGCGGATGCTTCCCGCAGAGGAGCGCGTCCAGGCCGTGCGAAAGCGCCCAACTCTGGGGCCAACAACTGTCAAACATCTGCGCTAGCAGCTCCGGCTCCCGCAGTGGGGAAGGTGGCGAAAACCCCTCAGCTTTCCTTTATTGCTCTCCCCAAACTTTGGACTCCCCCTCGGGAAGGTAAAGGGCCAGGCGCTGGCGCCTGGGAAATGGCAGAGACCTTAAACCCCTCGGGATCCGGCGGGGTCCCCGGTGGGGACCTCGCGACCGGCTCAGATCGTGGCGAATGGCCTTTTGTTTCTCCGCGTCCCCCCATTGTTTGCCTTTCCGACATTTGGCGGGGCTGGAGGAGAGAAGGAAGCCCCTGTCGTCCTTCCCTGCGGTCCACGCCGGCCGCGGACCAGCCCAGCTGGTGGATCCGGCTTTTTTTTTTGGACCGCGTCGGGCACGCCGCCGACCCCGCCCCGGCCCGGCAGCCGCCCCCGAGCCTTGCGGCCGGAGGCGGAGGAAAGTTGCTTCTCCCGCCCCCTCCGCGGCCAGTGGCCCAGGGCGCATTTCTCAGATCGTAGCCCAGGCGCGCCGCACAGGGCGCAATCCCGAGAAGGGTGCCGCTTTCGAGAGTGGAAGCGAGGTTCCGCCCAGTCCAGGGCGGAATCTCTAACTAAAGGCATCCTGGCTGGGCCCAGCCGGGTCAGTAGAGGAGGAGGGCACGCACCTCCCGGGGGCCGAAAGCCGAGGTTCTGGGGTCTGCGAGCGTTCCAGGGCGGGAGGGCAGCCTTACAGAGAATGAGGTGCGCATAAGCTGGGACACCTCTAGACGCTGCCTGGACATAGCGGCGTGGTGGCTCACCCCGGAAGGAAGCCGGAGTTGTGACGTCGCGTGGGGCTCCAGGTTGAAATCCCAAGTCCCTTCTGCCTTGTAGAAAAAGCAGACTCCGCGGCTAAGACGCGTCCTGAGCGGTGTTCGCGTTTCCACGTCCAAGCAAACGGGTTGCCTAGTCTGCCCGGAGTTCCCATGTGGGTGCGCGTTTTAGGTTTAGGGGACACTGGTTCCCTGCACAAGTTAGATGCTTACATATTGTGCACCTGTTGGAATCTCTGCCTCTTTATAACTTTGCAAGTTGACCCATGTTACCAGCTTTTTCTGTGGAAAGCCCAATCAGTCCCTCTCCCAAGGAGAACGAACCATTTACAGTTTCTTCCTTTTTTTTTTTTTTTCTTTCTTTATTTTGTCCTCTAACATCTCGTTCTCAGGCATTTTAAGTGGAAACTGTGCTTGGCTCAGCGTGATTCTGGGAGTTTTCCCTTTACAGAGTGAAGAGTTTCCATTTAACAAAGAAGTGAGATTGCTAAGTCAGGAATGTGAACACACAGAACACTTTCTCAGGTGATTTCTGAGTATTACCAGCAGGTCTAACAAAACAAAAACAGCAACATCTTTCAAGTACTGAATGGCACTTTATAAACATTTCATTATGAGAGGGTCCCCAAGGAAGAATCCTTTGGGGTTTAGGAGCAGCAGCTGGGAAGCAAGGAAAAGACTTGAATTGCCCAAGAAGTCCCCAAAGGCATCATTAGCAAAGTTAAAGGACAGCATTTGTCCTGGTCTAAGGAGAACAAGGTCCTTATGGTGATGATAAGCTTGTACAGTTTCTTTAATTTTAGTATTAAAAAAAATCCTCTAAAACTATTCTAGGCAAAATAGAAAATAAGAGAGTTGAAAAGAAAAGAAAGAAAACAAGGATATTATAAATTAGGCTCCAGAAAATGATCTTACCTAATTATTTCCTTGGAATAAATTTCTGCAGCTATGATAGCTGGGTCAAAGGGGTTGGTGCACTTCCCAGGATGTTTAGGACTGTCATATTGCCCTTTGGAAACATGTGTTGGCTTACCCTCTCTCCAGCAATACGCAAGAGAATCTGTTCCTCACACTGTCTACCCCACTCATACTTGAATATTGTCATTCCTTTATGTCTCTGCCATACTGATAGAGCTAGGTATCTAGTTGTCCTGTTTTGCATTTCTATAATCACAAGAGAGTAAACATTTTTCGTATTGTCTGTTAGTATTTCTTCCTTGTAATGATGTTGGTTTGTGACCTTACTTATTTTTCACTGGAAGTGTTTTCCTTTTTCTGATTAGTTGTGCTCTTCATAAAAGCCCACTGTTCTGACTGCTGCCCTGGCGTCAAAATTGGACAATCTTTATTGACTGGGAATGTGTTGCTTTCTTGGTCTATTCTTTTTATTTTTTTTTAAGATTTTATTTAATTTTATTCATTTGTCATTTTATTTTATTGACATTGACGAGAGAGAGGCAGAGAGAGAGAGATGGAAAGTGAGAAAGCAAGTTGCCAGGGGACCAGCAGTTAGCATAATGGCTATGTCGCTGGACTCCCTTGTAGTCGACTGCGGTCCGTGTTCCGGACCCAGTGGCTTAAAACTCACGCCGGGTGCGTGTGCGTGCGTGCCCAAGATACTGAGAGAAGAATGGAGAAGGGATTGTGGCGTGGCCATCCTCCCTGGGGGGTGATTTCTCGCTTTCTGTCTCTCTGTCTCTGTCTGTATGGCAAGCACACGCGTCCTATAGCAAAAACCTCTCCAAAAAAAAAAAAAAAAAAAAAAGAAAAAAAAAAAAAAAAAAAAGAAGGAAAGAAAGCAAGTTGCCAGGTCCTGGAGAAGTCCAGCCTCCTTAGCCACCAGATCACTTGTTGGCCTCTCTTGGCCAATTCTTTTCCCTCCTGCACAGCAAACATTTTGCAAGACAGCAATCTTGCGTTACTAAAATAGCTGACATCATCTCAGTAACATTAGGGAGGTCAGGTCTTATTAGAGAAATTTATAGAAAATACCACGTCTCTATTTTCTTCCTTTTTTGAAAAAAAAAAAACATTATTTAATTTTATTTATTTTATTTGACTGGAGAGGGACACAGAGAGAAATGGAAAGTGAGAAAGCAAGCTGCCAGGTCCAGGACTCGAACTGCAGTCAGCCATGCATATCCCAAGTCTTTTATAGGTTATAGTGCTTTTTTTTTTTTTTTTCTAATTTGGAACAGATTTGTTAATGAGTTGTTTTTAGTAAATGGGTTACACTAATTCAATTTATCATCTGATTTTTCTGCTGATAATCCATATACCATGATCCACAACTTGTTCTTTCAAATACTTCTAATATGTAGACTAAAAATTTGTCTCCCTTTTGTCGTAAGACTTTCTTTTCTTTGGCAATGCCATTTGAACACTGCTCTTGGAACAGTCTGGAATCTGTTAATGGCATTAGCAGGAGAGGTCTTCTGATGACTCAGGTGCATTTTACTTTTTTGTGCATGTGTGTAGCCACAATCTCTATGTTCATTCTTGCTTGAAGGTAGATGATTCTGAAATAGGGTAGGTTTAAGAGTAGAAGAGAAAGTTCATCTCATCTAGGCTACACATTAATACAGATGGAGGGCCATGCAAGAAAAGTTAAGCAGATAATCTAGGTAATCTGGGTACAAAATAACCTTCAAAAATATTTTTAAAAATATGTGCTTTAAAAATTCATACTGTACAAGGTGTACAACAGTTATATGTAAATCAGAAATTACAATTAAGATGATAAAAGTTATGAAAATGTCACATATTAGTAGAATGGCTCATTTAATTAATGGACAGAAAGTAGTCTAACTAGGAAAAATCCAATGTAAACTTACTTCATAAAATGACTCTAAGCTTTTATTTCAGGCACACAAATAAACAATAAAAGACAGGTATTCTTAACTTTGCTGCAGCATTTTCTATTCTTTAGATGTAGGAATCGAACAATACACATTGGGAATGAATCTCCGCTTTAGAATCAGAGGCTCTCAAGGGTTAAAAGAGAGCTGAATGGTCATCTAATTCAACTGTTCATCCAATTTCACTAAGACGCTTTACTCTCTTAAAGTAATGAAGTACCTTTGTATAAACCACATCATTTTAAACAAACCAAGCTGAGAAGCAAATGGACCAGAAATGTTAACCTTTTCCCTCCAGGTAGAAGGGAAGAAAAGGAAGGGTTTTGAACTGTATTAGGGAAATTGTATAAGCTCTGTTAATGTGCTGTATTTGCAAAGAATAAACAACCTTGGCAGCAAGAGGGTTAAGTCATTGACATATTCTATTTTGTACCATTCTTTGCTTCACATCCTGTAGTCTTTGTCTTGGTGAAGTTCAAAGGAGTTGAACAAAGCTCACACAAAATGGTCGAAAAAAGAGGAAGAGAGAATAGAAGATGGAGAGATATTACTCCTTTAAAGCTGTCTGAGGGACTTTCTAACAAGACTCCTTTGATCACCCTAGGGATGGTTGGAGTTACTTCCCCTTAGAGAGGGGAAGGTGACTGATGTCCCAAGACCAAGCTTTAGAAAAAGCAAACATTATGTAAACTACCACTAACCCAGTTGAGGACATGCTTACAGCATAGTACAATAATCCTTAGAAAGAATATGAAGGAGGAGGAAAAGGATAAGGACGTTTTGGAAGGAAGTGAAATTTTAATTCTGAAAATATACCTTATTTTTTCCCGAGTAGTTCTGTGAATTTCTGAAAGTAGTGGAAGCATCTCCTGATTTCCATTCGGATGATCTCCCAGGCACAGCGGCTGTATTTCTTATCTTTCAGGAAATTCTTTATCCTGTTGAAATATCTCTTTAATTCTAGGTTTCCCAGCTGGGGGACCGCAGCTCCCGAGTGCTCCATCTCATCCTCTTCCATTTTTTCCCAGTCGTTTTCATTCTCTTCTTCCTCCAAGCATTGTTCCAGGTACTCTACTTGCTGATGAAGTCCCATTTGGATTTGCTTCAGGTGTTTCTGTTCCCAAGTGGATTTGAAGGTGTCTTGACTGAAGATGTTGAAGGCTTGCATGGATATTTCATAGAAGACTTCCTTTATGTCCCTTTTCACTGGCTGCGTGGATGATAGAATTTCTTGGGGCAACTCAAAAGCTTTGTTTTCTCTTAGACATTCTACAGGAAATGAATTGCTCATACTGCTCAGAAGTCTCAGATTTTGCCAGGTGACTCTCCTCAGGTGAACATTCAGTAAGTTACAGTCCAGAGATAGGATGGTGGTAATGAACAGAACCACCAGGAACACCAGACATACACACTTTTGAATCATGGCAGGCTTGGGTCTCAGTTCTTTTCCAAGCTGAAAAATGCACCTGACTTAGAGTTGACAATGATGTTTTGAATACTTCTTCATGTGCCTTTATATACCTGAATATATTCAGCAGGGGGAGTCTCCCCATTCGTCATTTTATAGTTCTCAGGGCTGTGGCCCCTTTCCTTTGCCTTTAAGGCTTTTTTGACTTTGGGTGACTATACTGACTTTGGAAGTGCTGTCTTTTTTTTTTTTTTTTTTAAGAAAAGTGAGCAAAGTATTACCATCGAGTTACCTTAGATTCCTGGATGATCCTTCCCAGCACTAAAGAATCATCATAGCAAGATTGATGCATAGGATTTTAGAAAGCTGAAAGCTGTGACTCTATACACTCACTCACCCAACTTTATTACATAAGAAAGATCCTTCATGCAAATATTTTATGCCTGGCCCTATCGCTAAACATCCTTTCTCACTGAATTAAGCATAGACATTGACCAAACAACTATGATTATGATCATCAGATTGCCGGAGCATTACATAGTTTAGGTTTTTCTTATCTTGTTACATTAAGCTTGTATATTTAGATATTTTTCTCTTTGATTTTTCTGGGTGTCAAGAAAGGTAAAGAACAGAGTTGCTCAATGGAGCGTAGTACTTATCAAATAGAAGCCTGAGCCATCTTGGTTTTCTGTTGTCATTAGAAAAGGTTGATATTTGCTATTTTCCTGTAGTTAAACTTTGCATTCCTATTTAGCATTTCATATGCCTCTGATATCTTTCTTACAAATCCATTAAATTTTTATTTGAGAATATTGTACTGCTTCACTAGCTTCTGTCTTGTAGTCACACATTTTTCTTTTTAATATAGTGTAGACAGTGTTTGAAAACTTTTGCATGGTGATCTTTTTTTCTTGCTTTGTGGTTCTGGATTCTGTAAAGGCTTTTTGTTCCTGTGTTTGTTTTTCAATCAGGAGGTATGTGCATAAGAGGTCATCCTTTTCAGCCAAGCTAATTTACACCTGGACCAATATTACTGTGGTAATTATGGCTATCTACCATTCATGGTTTTTAATTTGTTTGCCCAAATAACCTTCTGGTTGTGATCAAGGCATTGGATTCCCTTCTCTGGGAAAGTAAAATTGGATGCCATTAAATGCGGCTAGCTTATTTTACCATTGTATTGAGTCGTCAGGAAAGTCATGACGTATTTTTGCATACAAGAACAATAATAGGTCATGACTTTCCTGGTGACCTAATGCAAAAAGAACTATATTAATGTTCAATAAAGCCATTTTAGAATGGCAAATAGTTCCACAATAGACCTAGATTGAAAATTTGACCTAAAAATGTCTGAGTTGATTGCACCATAGGCCAATTTTGAATAACTAAGAATTTTTTTAAATCTTGGTTTTGGGAACTGATTTTCTATGAAAAGAAAACTTAGTACACGTATTAGTCTTTTTTTAATAATTATTTTATTTTATTTATTCATTCATTTATTTTGTCCAGGGAGAGATACATAGAGAAATAGGGAGAGAGAAAGCAAGCCACCAGGTCCAGGACTCAAACCATGGTTGGCCATGTGGGAGTGTCCAGCGCCATAACCACCACACCACCTGCTGGTCCCGCGTATTACTCTTAATGTTCTATTACATATAAATTTTGACTTCACAGACAGATTTCTTGATGTGACTAACTTTAAAAAATAATTAGAAAAGCTGGGCCTTCTTATATGGGATTATAAATTGACATTTTCCTAGAGATCAAAATGGTGATATGGATCATAAGCTTTAAAAATGTGCATAATTAGGGACTGGCAGGTGGCATGGTAGTTAGGAGAGTTGGACTCCTATATGGCTGAACATGGTTCGAGTCTCAGATCTGGCGGTTTGCTTTCTCATTTTCTTCTTCTTTGTCCCTCTCTTGTCAAATTAAAATAAGTAAAATAAAATACAATAATTCTTTAAAAAAGTGTGCATAGCCAGGTCGGCCCATTGCCTAGTGGTTAAGGCATACTGGATCCCACATAGCCAACTGCGATTCAAGTCCTTGCTTGCTGGCAGTTTAGGAAACACGACAGGTGCATGTGTACCTGCCCCAAATCCCATCAGCACAGAAGAATGGAGAAGGGATTGAGGCATGACCATGCTCCATTAGGGGGTGCTTTCTCTCTCTGTCTCTCTGTGGTGAGCACATGTGCTCTTCATATACATTAAAAAATGTATATAGTCTTTAATTTAGCACTTTTCCTCTTGGGGTTTATACGAAGAAGTAAGATGATGTCTTTTAAGACTTTGCTGTCAGAAAGCTTAACAGCAAAACAAAAGCAAAACAAAACAAAACACCAGAAAACAATTTAAATGTTCATCAATAGGTACTTGGTTGTTAGTGGCCAATAGAAAACTTCTGTCAAGCACTAAAAATTGGGAATATATTGCTCACTTAGACAAATATACTTTTAGCTTAAAAACAAGCTTAATAGTAGAATGTAGAGTCGGATACCATTTTTGTTAGACATATGCATACATGAAGAAAAATACCTAGAAAGTATATATACTAAAAATTTTAAACCATCATCTCTGACTGGAAGAGTAACAAGTAATTTTTATTTTTATGTTTTTACTTATGTAGATTTTTAAGATTTTCTGTGGTTGGTAAGTTTATCTTTTTAAACAAGGCAAAATTGTTGTTAAGATACATTAACAGGGCCGGCAAGTGGCACAGTGGTTGAGGCACTGGGTTCCACATGGTTGACCATAGTTTGAATCCTGGACCTGGCAGCGTGCTTTCTCACTCTCTCTCTCTGTCTCTCTTCGGTCAAAATTGAAGAATAATGATAACAAATTCAATTAAAATTAAATAATTCTTTAAAAAATACACTAACAAGAAAAGAGAACACATCTGAAATGAGATCAATACACTTCATTTACTTAAACCTTAGTACTCCAGAGTACTTCAAAAATAAATATATATTTTTCCTAAGGCTTAGTTCTAATTTGGTTGGCATGAATAACATAGAGCATGTGGGAGTTCAATGAATGAATGACATTCTTGCAGCTTTTCATTTAAAAAAATCATGTATTATGTATATGTTTATGATTGTACACAAATACACAAACATACATGGTCTGTATAGTGCAAAGCAGCTCTAAGGACCCTACCATTTTGCTTAACTCACAGAACTTCTGCCCTAAAATCTCTTGAACTGTCTCAATTAGAACTGTTTGTTCTCCTTTTTGCTTTTACATGCCTTATCTTCCTTAACTGTGGGCTATTTCATTTTATTTTTTAAGGTTTTTGCCATAGGGTGTGTGCACTCACTGGAGAGAGACAGACAATGAGAAAGTGAGAAATCACCCTCCAGGGTGAATGGCCACGCTGCAATCCCATCTCCTCCATTTTCCTCCTGGGATTTTGGACACACACGCACACATGCCCAGTATGATTTTTAAGCCGCAAAAGCCACTAGAACCAAGACACAAACCTCAGTCTGCATGTGGGAGTCCAGCACTTTAACCACCCTGCCACCTGCTGGTACCTGTGGGCTATTTTAGAATAGATAATAGTTCTAAACTGTATAATACGATAGATTGTATAACTGTTGATCTCCAGATCTAGTATCTCTCTCTCCTAATAGTGCTCAGTATACTTTGCTCCTGTTTGAGACAGCTCAATACTACTAACCAAGCTAAAAGATTGTTTGCTTGCCTTACAAGGATAGAAGTTCTGCTTATCAGGGATGGAGATGGCTGCAGATTTGGCTGTTGTTAACCACTATTTTTTTTTTTTTTTAAAGAGAGATTTTTACTATAGGGCACGTGCACTCACCAGAGAGACAGAGATAAAAAGTGAAAAATCACCCCCAAGGGGGAAATGGCCACTCACTCTGCAATCCCTTCTCCTCCATTCATCTCTCGGGATTTGGGGCACGCATGCACATGCACCCAGCGTGATTTTAAGCCTCTGGGTCTGGGACTCAAACCATAGTTGACTACATCAGAGTCCAGTGATGTAACCATTATGCCATCTGCTGGCCCCATTAACCATTTTTAAGTTCTCTGTATTTTCTTCTGTGTACAATTTTGTCATTTTAGCCCTGTCATCCCAAATTTGTCCCTTCAGTATCATTTCATATTGTGTTCACATTTATTTAAAAAAATGCATCTGTAGCATTTATCACATGCAGTCACTGGCTTAGGTCCTGAAGAAGAGAATATACAGTGTAATGTGTGATCAAGGAGTCCAGGTTGAAGGGCTAGATACATTCTGAGTGTTTTAGTTAGAAGGGCTTCTCTTCTCATTTTCCTTGTGCTGCAAATACTCATTGATGCTATTGCATGACAAAGAAGGAATAATGGTTGGCATGTATGTCTGCCCTTTTCCACATTAGAATTGCCTGATTTAGCACATAAAAATACAGAACACCCATGTTATTTGGGGGCATACCTGTCCAAAAAAAAAAAAAAAGCATTCATCTTGTTTTTTCTGCAATTCCAATTTAACTGGATGTCTTTATTTTATCTGGTAACTAACTACTCAAGTGCTCCTTAACCTCTCACAACAGAGCTCTGCCATGACACCCTCTGCAGGAAGTTCTTTCTCTACTACCTCCTTACCTCCTGCAGAATTGCATTTGCTTGTATTAGGCTGTTGGGAAGGTCATGACGTATTTTTCTATGCAAAAGTGCATCATGACCTTCCTGACAACCTGGTATTTATGCTGGCTTTATTGTGCACTTATACCTAACAGCAGTGCACACTCCAAGGGGGGCACTGTCATACTGAAGCAAGATACACACCTGGACACTCACACATAATTACTGTGATCAGAGCATTATTGAACGACTTGGTCATTGGTCATATCTTTCTTCTGTAAAAGCTATACTGTCTATACATAGCTCAAAATATAATCAGAAAGCTGGAACGAATAACAGCGTAAGGAAATATTTTATCCTTAAATTCGTCACAACTGCCTCGTCTGCCATTAATAGGATATGCGTTGAGATGCCAGCATTGATTCCATGATAATACTCTTATTTCTCTAG